GCGATCATGTTGGCGATCCTATTTTTATCAACAGTACGAAAAAGTGCTGCTGGATTTTGTCCAAACCAGTCTCTTAGACTTTGAAGCCATGATGTTCTTCTTCTGCCTGGACCTCTCATTTGCCTTCAGTCTTTCCTTGTAGGATTAAGTGAAATATGCCATATTTTTGTGGGTGTTGCATCACATATCTGAAATATTCGCTTTTTTTATGGTTTTGATGATCTCTCTTGGCTTTCCCAGGCAATTTATCACCTCCTCATTTCTGATTCTGTCAGTCCAACTTATACATAAAAGCCTCCTGTAAATTTACATTTCAAATGCTTCTGGTCTCTTCAAGTGGCTTTCTGTCAGAGACCAAGTCTCCCCTCCGTAGAGCAGGATACGAAGTCTGACAAGCCTGATTTTCAATCTCAGGCTTATGTCGTGACTGCAGAAGATCTTTTTCATTTTGAAGGATGCTGTTCGAGCTTTCTCTCTTTACTTCAGTGGTCATGTTCCAGCTTTCATGTAAATTAGAACTGATGGAATATTTTTCTTACCCTTATTATATTATGATGCTACTTTTTAGGATATTACTTTTGATGCTACTTTGTCTAGATCAAACTTTTTATAAAATCCCCTAGGCTGTCATTGCAGTGGCTGAAACTACACAAAAAAGGAGACCACTGTTGGATCAGATGAAAGCCCCATCTAAATCAATTTCCTAGTTCTGACAGCAATATTTATTTATTTATCAAACAAATGCCGCCAGAAGCATGTCATGGAAGCGCCAACACTCTTCGGCTTGTGATCCTCAGCCACTGGACAAGAAGTATCTAACAGAATAACAGCGTTGGAATGAACCTTGGAGGTCCAACCCAAGGGCTGAGATTCTACCGGTTCAGACTGGTTCTATAGAACCGGTTGTTATGATTCTGCGCAGTTCAGAGAACCGGCAAATCATCCCCCTGGCTGGCCCCACCCCTCTCTGCCGGCCCCTCCCCTCCCCTCCCCACCCAGTCAGTCCTTATCGCACATGCCCGACATCGCTGATTGCATTCTCCCCCATCCAGTCACTTAAGGTATTTCTCCCCCCCCCGAAGACCAGCTGTTCCAATTATCAGCTGTGCCAGGATCCCACTCACTGTCTTACTGCTTCACCCAGGAGGCTTCCCTGAAGCCAAGGAGGCAAAAGGGGGTGCAGGGGGAGCTGCACCCCCACGTGCTCTGTTTTTTTTTGCCTTCCTGGGCCCTTGGGAGCAAAAACGCCCCCCCTGAGGCTTCCCTGAGGCCCAGGAGGCAAAAAAATGTGGGGGGGGGGGGTTGCTCCAAAAAAAGAAAAAGCAAAGAAGAAGCCACGCCCACCCAATCACATGGCCACACCCACCTAGCCACACCCACAGAACCAGTTGTTAAAAAATTTGAATCCCACCCCTGGTCCAACCCCCATAATAAACTTACTGGAGGTCCTTCGATTGAAAGTCCGCTTGGCCCTTGTGGTCCAGGAGGCCCTTGAGGGCCCGGAGATCCAATTTCACCTCGAGGTCCTTCAGGTCCCTACAAGATCATCACAAAATCCATGCTCAAAATATATCAGTTATACCCTTGATTTATTTACATAACCTACTTTATCCTGCTGTTTATGCTAATGCGTCTCAGCAATGTTTACAAACACAATATAAAAGGAATGAAAAAAACTGAACCGCAGTCCTTGACTTACAACTCTAAGGGATGGTGGTGAAAAGGCTCACCATGTGACTGGACTTATTTTTATCTTATTAGCAATGGTCATTAAGCGAACCTCACTGTTGTTAAGCAAATTCTTGTGGCTGTTAAACAGACATTTTGGTCCTTAAGCGACTGCTGCAGTCAATAAGCAAACACCCTAGTTAATCAAACCTACAGTCTATGTGGGCAGGTTTTTGCCAGAAACCAGAAGTGAACACTAGTTCCCAGACAAAATGTCATAAATGGTAGTCGTTTGATTACAGGGCACTGCAAAAAGCAGCTACAGATAGCCCTCGACTTACAACAGTTAGAATAGAATAGAATAGAATAGAATAGAATAGAATAGAATAGAATAGAAACAGTTGGAGAGGACTTTAGAGGTCTTCTAGTCCACCCCCCTGCCTAGGCAGGAAACCCTACACCACTTCAGACAAATGGTTGTCCAATCTCTTCTTTAAAACTTCCAGTGTTGGAGCATCCACAACTTTTGGAGGCAAGTTGTCCCACTGGTTAATTGTTCTAATTTCTTCTTGGTTCTAGGTTTCTTCTCTCTTTGATTAGCTTCCACCCATTGCTTCTTGTCCTGTCTTCTAGGGGTTTTGGAGAATAGACTGACCCCCTCTTCTTTGTAGCAGCCCCTGAGATATTGGAACGCTGTTTGTTTAGTGACTGTTCATAGTTACAACGGCACTGAAAAAGGTGACTTGTGACCACTTTTCACACTTATGACCATTGCAGCATCCCCATGGTCACGTGATTTACATTCGGATGCTTGACAACTGGTTCATATTTATGACGGTATTGCAAGGTCCCGGGGTCATGCGATCACCTTTTGCAACCTTCTGACAAGCAAAGCCTGAGAAGAACAAACTACGGGTGTTTAAATGCTGTAAATAAGCAGTGGGGATCTTTTCTGGGTCAGCAGCGTGTCTGATTCGCATTCAATATCCTCATTATTTGTTAATTCAACTTCAGTCTTTTTAAAATCATTGGGGACACACAGATGCTGACTGAGACTTTGAGGTGATATTCGAGTGGGAATTGAAACAGTTCATCAATCAGGAATGGTATGATCCCATTCCTAGCCTTATTATCCTACATGTGGTGTGTGTATGTGTATTGGGTGAGCAGCGTTTTATCCTACACGTTGTGTGTTTGTGTGTGTGTGTGTCTGTCTCGGTGTGTGTAGGGTGAGGAGCGTTCGCCAAAACTACATTGTCCAATTTCAGATATTTTTGGTGGTGCAATTTACTGGCCACTCCAAGTCTTGTGCAAAGGTAGTTTTGTGTTTATGCGTACTATAGATATATAGATGGGCTGTAGGAATTGTATAAAAACAACACATCACAAAAACATTGGCATTCCTGAAACGTTTCATACCATTTTGGTGCCAAGTACATGTATGTAACAGTTTGACTTAACAGGATGGAGAAAGTTTAAGGAAGAAGCTTCTGTGCAAAGCTCTAAAATTGAATGTACACATTAATAGAGTTGAATTAGGAGTAACAGAAGATGCCATGATTTCTACCCATTCCTTGCCCTTTTTAGCAATTTTCCTGTCCCCCCCCCCAAAAAAATTGTTTTTCTCCCAATAATATGTATTTTTTTTAAAAAAGATAACAAGACAAAATGTAGGTTACATTCTACATAGACAATGAAATCATTATGTGGGCTGGGATATACACAGACTATCATTGGCAAGTTACCTTTGGGCCATCATCACCACGGCTTCCTTTCGGACCTCGGAGACCTGGACCTCCCTATCAAACACATTTAAGATTAAAAGAAATCAAGTAAGTCCTGTTGTTCAAAGGTGCAATGTATATTCATATCTCCTACTCAATCAGAGTTTTAGCCAAACAGTCATCTTTTAACTTATCTCAGTTTCTTTTCCTACAGGCAGAATTCAGTACTACTGAAAATAACTTGTTCTCTCAAGGATGCTGTTGTTTTGTAATAGTTCTGTTTCGTTCTAAGCCTGGTTGCAGAATTCACCAATACTGAGGCCATCATCGCCATTCATCAACCATTATCTCCTCCTCCTCCTCCTCCTCCTCCTCCTCCTCCTCCTCCTCCTCCTCCTCCTCCTCCTCCTCCTCCTCCTTCATATCACAATTCATATTTCACTATTCTACACCCTGAATATCCCTATCTTTCTTAAAGAAAGCACAATCGGAATTCGGCTTTCACAAAGCCAATGGGGAATTTTCTATTTTAAAAAATGTCATTTCTGATTCATTTTTTCACTTTTCTTCATTTTGGAGACCAGCCAACTATGCAGATGACTGACACTTGAGTAAGTGCCCAAAGGTAGATTTCTGTCTTACCCCTGGGACCACTTAGTAAGGCTATGCTTGCTTTAAAAGCAATGTAGATGAAATACAAACCCAACATATTTTCAAGGTATTTTATTAGGGAAGAGAGAAATGCTAAGGATGTTTCTAGGCGTGGTCATTTTTGCCCAAAGGTCCTAACCAATATCTGATTCACTAATTTGATTGGTGGTCCAATAATGTACTACATTTATTCCATCTAGTCTTTTTTCTTTCAACAAGTATCGAAGATGGAACAGCTTAAGTGTTGATTGTCATCAGTAGTAAACAAATATCTGGAAAATTTTCAGCACTCTAAGTAATGGAACAAGAGCAAGAAAGCCTTACTGTATATTTACTGTTATTTCAAAGTAACATCTAGAAACAGGAAACCTAATATATGGGACACACAAATATCCCATCCTTTGTATCTCAGTGCCTTTCAGATGTATAAAGCCTGCCACCCAAGCTAGTGGGGAACAACAGCTGCTCTTCAATACAAATGTACTTCAGAGCAGTAGTAGTCGTTATTTTAATTCAGTGTGTTAAATTCTCAGCCCACAAAGAAGATAGATTTTAGCAGGTTGCACCACTGAGCTACGATCCCAATCTATCCAATAAAATTTGATGCTTGGCCACCTGGGAGTACTTGAAGGGGGACATTAGTAAAAGACCAATAAAGTAAAATCTTACAGGTGGCCCCGAGGGCCCAGGAGATCCTTTGTTGACTTCAGAGCAGGAGCAAGAATGTGGAAGGGCAGGGCAGCCTTTTTCATCTCTCTAACAACAACAAAAACAAGGTTTGTGTTATCTTCAGTATATTCCAAAATAGCTTGATACCCGTGCTTCGCTACAAAACTATGTGGTCAGGCTTAGTTTTTGGGAAGGAAAATAGGGGCGGGGATTCTGCCTCTGCCTACCAGCATCCATCGGTATTCATCTGGCTAGCGTCCTGTCAATGTGTGAGAGAGTTGAGGGCTGTTTGGAAACTCAAACAATATTTGCTGTGTGAGCAAGAAGGAGACAGCAAGGAGCCTGGGTGTGGTTTAGATCAACTGTTCTGTACTAAAGCTACTTTGTGCTGTGAAGGTAAAACTGAAACTCCACTCCTCTGCTTGTGTTTTGCATTTGGAACAGATTTCTTTTCAAGTGGGGAGGGGGAGTAGAACTCCTTAGCATCAGAGTGTGTTAATAATAATATACGAAATACTAATGCTCTGATGGTCATTTAGAGAAAGCCTTTCCTAGTGAGCACCTAGAAGCCAAGAGGAACATACATGCCAAATTTCAAGTTTGTAGGCTTTACAGTTCTGGAGATTTTGTGAGGATACGTGAGTGGTATTTTGCTTTTATATATACTGAATAGATTAGGATACCCTGGATGTTGGTTACAGGTTCCTCTTTTGCAGACCTTTCCAGACATAGTTATAATTGAATTGCAAATGACTAAATAAGTATTCTTAATGAGTCACATCTTACCAAAGCTGGAAGTTCACAGCACTTATCTCTATTGGCCCATGAAGTGGAACAAACGATATCAAACATCTGCAGCTGGAACTGGTTAAGAAGGAAAAAAATAATTCCAAAATGATTAGGCACCATGAAATAAAAATATAACAAAGACTGAAGGCAATAATCATTCATGAGTTGTTTTATTTTTACTTACCAGACCATGAACCGAATGCTTGCCTATGAGATATGGTTGTATAAAAATATTTTAAAATCTGCCCAAATTTATTCAAAATTTCAACTGAAGGTGACCTCCAAATGGAAGCTTAAAGAAACTCATCTGTCTCGAGAATCATACTTCCAGCAATCTATCTTTTATTTTAAAAAGTAAATTATTTCAGGTCGATACATGTAATCCTCAACTTACAACCATAATTGAGCCCAAAATTTATGTGGCTAAGTGTTGTGGTTAGCTGGCAGCAGGTGCGGACAGCTGAGGAGAGCGAGGACTCAGATGAAGGGCCAGGACCATTAGGGAGTGGACTGCTGCCTTCAGAGGTTGTGGGGGCTGGCAGCAGCGATGAGGAGGTTCCTGAGGAGCCTTTGCCAAGTGTCCATGCGTGCAGGGCTGCTGGCAGAAAAGAGCAGCTGCAGCAGCACGGGTGACTCGGGAGTAAGGCTGCAAGATAATGGCCCCTCCTTCAAGAAGATAAAAGCCAGCTGTGAAGCGAACATTCTTTGCAGGAAGCAAAGACATTTTGAAACTCCAGCCTCGTGGACATTGCAGTATCTTAAGTTGGTATTTGAAGACTCTTGTGTAGTAAAATATCTCTAAGTAACCTTATCTATTATTCTTGGCAGCCTCGCACAGTTTTGGTGAGGCTCGTGCTTATCAAAGTGAATTAGTTTGCAGCAGCCTTTTAACCGGGGATTCGTAAGAATCATTAAAAGGTTTCTGTTCCCTTTGGTTCATGTTTGTTTTATTGGAAAAGGATTTGGGTCAGAACACTAAGTGAGATAGGTTGTTAAATGAATTTTGCCCCATTTTATGACCTTTCTTCCCACAGTTGTTAACTGAATCACTACAATTGTTAAGTTAGTAACACAATTATTAAGTGAATCTGGCTTCCCCATTGATTTTTCTCATCAGAAGGCGGCAGAAGGTGATCACGTGACCCCAGGACACTGCAACCGTCATAAATATGAGTCAGTCAGTTGCCAAGTGTCCGAATTTTGATCATGTGACATTGGGGATGCTGCAATGGTCGTAAGAGTGAAAAATGATCATCAGTCATTTTTTTTCAGTGCTGTTGTAAATTAAAACGGTCACTAAATGAACTGTTGTAATGTGAGGATTACTTGTACAATCATGCTGATGACAGCAAACTCCTCTTTGTTTTCCAAAATTATTCCTCTTTCACCTCCAGTACCTAATCCTATAAATGTCATAATGTTGTTGTATTGAGAACAACGTGATAACTATGACCCATGTTGCTTCAATCAAGTCCAAAATCAGAGTTAAAAAGCATATAAAGATGTAAATATTTATTGAGAATCCATAGCTCAGCCCACAGGGTTTCCATTTAGCTTCCTTCGTTCTGAAATAAACAATTCCTCATCAATCTCCAAATGCCAATTCCCCTCTCATGCAACATTTCCAACAGAACAAACACACAGTTTCCTCAAAGATGCCTGAAGGAACGAAATTTAAATTAAGAATATATACTAGCATAATTCAGTCTGACATATCTGCAGAGAGACACAATGCTTCTACAAGGGGAGACGTTCAGGTAAATTCAACGGAGGACTTGGTCAAGGAACATAAGTGCATAAGAGCACCAACAGGCCTACCGTCCCTGTCCTAATGTCCCCTTTTATTTGTACCATTTCATGTACTTATAATCATGTTCCTAATTATATCTGTTATCTAAAACAGGGGTCTCCAACCTTGGCCACTTTAAGACTTGTGGACTTCAACTCCCAGAATTCCTCAGCCAGCAAAGCTGGCTGAGGAATTCTGGGAGTTACAGTCCACAGGTCTTAAAGTGGCTAAGGTTGGAGACCCCTAATCTAAAATAGGCTTGACAAAATAAACAAATAAGATCAATAAATAAGATAAATAAATTGATTAAAAATAAATAAATAAACACTGGATATCTCAGGGTGGAATGGGATCTTCAGGCTCCTATCCTTGGCTGTGCCTCCTTTGCCTCCCACCTCCCACCTCCGCCCATTTACAGCCAGCTTTCCTCCTCTGCTGGCCCTCCTCCAGCCATTCGCCCTGGCCGATGGGCCTCTGCCCCTCCACCCCACGCCCTTTGGCCCAGCCCATTCGCCAAGACACTGCTCGTCCCGGGCCCTTGGCCACACGGGACAGTTAGCTGCTGGCCAATCAAGTGGCAGGCAGAAGCCAAGGTGCTGCAGGGCAAGCATGCGATGGGCGATAGACCATCGCAGGGGCTGTGGGGCTATGGGGGAAGGTGCGGCAGCCCAATGGCAGAGGCTCATGGCCTCAGGCGCTTGTTAAGGTTAGGAAGGAAGGGAAGCAGTGGTGGTATTCTACTGGTTCTGCCCGGTGTTGCCAAGCCGGTAAGCGTCGATAAGCAGCGGAGACCAAACCTGTTGTCTCCGACACTCTGCTGTTGGGCCTACCTTTATTCCCTGCTTTTGAAGCGCAACTGCTTTGCATGGCACAGCAGATTGCCGCACGGCGGCTGCTGAAGCGACAGGGAGAGCGCGGGATTGCAGGAGGTGAGTCAAAAAGACTCTGTGCCAGCGCAAAGTACACGTTTGATGCGCGCGCTAAGTATTTGTGTGTGTGCAAAGCGCGCCCACCAAGCCACGCCCATTGAACAGGTGGTAAATTTTTTTGAAACGCACCACTGAAGTGAAGGGTGGGAGATTGCATCATGCCCTGCTCCCCAGCTCCCGCTCTCAGCCCCATGGAAGGCTGTAAGAAATTCCCATGGCCAAGGGTAGGAGCCTGAAGGTCCTACACCCATGATGGTGAACCTATGCCATGCGTGCCACAGGTGGCACAAGGCCCAGCCAACCTTACCTGCACTGTGCATGCGCACACCTCCCAGCTGATTTTCGGCCCGTTTGAGGCTGTTTTTAGCCTCCCAAAGGCTCGAGGGAAGCCTCTGCAGCCTCGGGAGGCCGAAAAACAAGCCTTCCAGAAATACCGGAAGTACTGAAACAGGCTCGTTTTCAGCTTCCCTTGAGCCTCCAGGAGGGTGAAAACAGCTAGGAAGGCCAAAAATCAGCTGGGTGGTGCGCACATGCATAGGGCAGATAAGGGGGCGGGGCATGAGTGTTGCGTGCACATACACAGAGGGCGGGGAGCATTGCATTATGGGTCCACACCACAACAAAAATGTTCGTCATCACTGTCCTAGATCCTAGGATGGAATTGAAATGTACATATAGGCCCATTCCAAATAAAGTAAATTTTATATATATATATATATATATATATTTGTTCAAATTAAAAAAAAAAACATTTTTTCAGAGGAAACTAAAGCATTCTTGATGATTTAGCCTCATGGACCACAAGACAGCATCAAAACACAATTTCCTGAAAAAGTACACTGTACCTAATCAAAAGCACAGTCTTTGTTAAAGTTGAATTTGTGAAAAGAATGCTGCTATTCATTTTAAAATGCATGTTTGTGGACTTACATAACCTCCAATCAATTCAGTTGCATGCAACTGGTTTTTGCTTCCTGTGGGTGTATAGTTCACTTGACCACTTATCATTCATACAACCATGATTTTCCAAACAAAAGCCATCATTTCTTTCCTTTTATTTTCTCACAAAGCACCCTTCAATTGCAACTTTTTACAAGATGGCCTTTGTCATTCCCTGCTGGAACATGGCCACAGGGGTTGCTTGGTTCAATTGTCTTAGGGGACTTGATATATTAATTGCCGGGCTTAACTTAGGAGTCTGAAAATACTTCTTTGTACAAAGCACATAATTTTATGTGGAGGGAGGGCAACTATGTACTTCACAGGCCAAACAAACTGAAATCCATTAGGTTTAAGAACTTCATTTGGTCAAGAGAGTTCAAAGGACATGACCAGATTGTTCAGCTTTGAAAATTAAATCCACCTCTTCTCTCTTATTAAATTCTCCTCTTGCTTAATTAGATAACCGTAACAATGCTCTAGAAGAGCTTCTCTTGTTGGGAACTGTCATCTTGAAAAGGGGATAAAAGTACAGGCCAGGTCTCAAGAGTTCAGCATGGTCAAGTACTTCCCAGAGAGTGACCCAAATGACCTTTTCCCGCTTGAATTTGGCCACAACACAAAGATGCCTTGACAAAGTGGCGGAACAGACACGAGAGTTTAAATGAATGAAGTAGATAGTGGTATAGCTGAATTAATGCTTTGTGTCTAATTACAGAAGGGGTTACATCCAAGGGTGGGCTTCAAAAAATTCAGCAACCAGTTCTCTGTCTGGTTGCTGGGTGGGCATGGCCATGGTGGGCGTTGCCTAGTTGGCCATCTGCACCATGGCAGGGAGGGGCGTTTTCACCTTCCCCAGGCTCCAGAGGCTTTCCTCGAGCCTCTGGGAGGGTGAAAACGGCCTCCCCCGGGCTCTGGAAGCCCTCCAGAGGCCGGAAATGGGCCCGTTTCTGGTCTTCCGGAGCCTCCAGGAGGCCCGTTTTTCACCCTCCCTGAGCCTCCATGCAGGCCCTGCACTTACCTCGCATCCAAAACGGGCCACATGGAGGCTCCTTGGAGGCCTGGGGCAGGATGGGAGGGGCCAGCCAGGGGTGGGATTTGGCGGTTCTCCGAACTGCCTATAACATTAGCTATGGATTCCCCCGAACCCGGGTGAGCCTGTAGCAGCCCACCCCAGGTTACATCAATCCCTGAATAAATAAACCAAGGAGCCATCTTGCCCCAATAGGACTGGTCTGCCCCACTTGTCCTGGCAGAAGAGGCCTTCTGCAAACCCCATCAGCCAAGGAATTTGGGCTGGCACGGATTAGGAGAAGACCCTTTTCTGCTGTGGTCTGCAACTTTTGGAACATCATGCTACAGGAGATGAATCCACTCTCTAACCTTTTGGCTCTCAGGAAGGACCTGAAAACCTGGCTGTAGGTGGTTGATACAATGACAGAGAAGGCGTTGCCGCCTCTCCACCTGGTTTTTAAGTCTGTATTTGATCTTTTGAAATTTTAATCTAGAATTTTAATTTAGAATTGTTTTTATATCTCCATTTTTACTATATTGTAAGCCTCCCAGAGTCGATTTGAACAGCGAGATGAGTTGGTATATCAATTTAATTAATATATAAATCTTGCTGAATAAATGATCCACTTTTATCTCAGCTCCTTTACTTACTGGTGCAGAACTGTCTCTTGGTCCTCTTGATCGAACCATTCTCCCCAGTACTTCAATCCCATTAGAGGTGATATTTCCTGCTGCGTTGATCATCTTCTCAGCCACTTCCTTGCAATCAATCACTACTTTAGCGGTGGTTTTGCTGATAACCATATGCAGCTGGAAGAGGAGAAGGATGTTTTAATACACAACAAGGGAGCCAAATGACTTACATTTAAAAAAAAGAGCTCTTTGTAATCCTTTTAATGCAATTCACAGACATGCTAATGCTCCTAAAGTTTCTATAGGCACGGAGAGCTGCATTCTCCTACATTCCTCAAGTAACCTGTTGGCCACTAATTCCATTTTGCAGCTAGGTAGGAATTTGTGTACAAGACGCTGAGCTTGTCGATCAGAAAGGTAGGCAGTTCGGCGGTTCAAATCCCTAGCACCACGTAACGGAGTGAGCTCCTGTTACTTGTCCCAGCTTCTGCCAACCAAGCAGTTCGAAAGCATGTAAAAATGCAAGTAGAAAAACAGGGACCCCTTTGGTGGGAAGGTAACAGCGTTCTGTGCGCCTTTGGCATTTAGTCATGCCAGCCACATGACCACGGAGATGTCTTCAGACAGCGCTAGCTCTTCGGCTTTGAAATGGGGATGAGCACCGCCCCCTAGAGCCGGAAATGACTAGCACATATGTGCGAGGGAAACCTTTACCTTAACAGCAAAAGAAAGACCTCACTGAAGATTAAGGGTTGAGGGATAAATGGGGCCTAAGCAGACACAGAATGGGCAAGATCAGCCTACTTGACCCATACCTCTGTATCAGAGACCCATAACATATGTGGGTTTGTATGGCTTGTCAATGGCCAAATTCCAAAAATAAGGAGATCATGGCATGACCTGAAAGAATGTCTGAAGAGCTTTGGGGTGGGGGGAGGGATAGATGGCATCTTAAGGTTTAAGACCTTCATTTTGACCCTTCAAATGTCCCCAATCCACTTTAAAAGCAAGAACCACATCAGCTGTCAACTTTGCAAGCCATATTGACACCAGACACTTCCACACTGCCACATTCTTAAGCCTGGGAAAATGGGAGGGGGGAATTTTTTTGAAGTGTATGTGGTTAGACATCATAGCATTCTTCTTCTAAATCAAGGTCATGTTATTTCTGCACCTGGGTGAGGGGAAGTCTCAAGTTGGGATGGATGGTGATTGGGGCATGTGATGTGATGATGGGTGCAGGGGATGGATTTGTAGTCTTTACTTATTGCAAGGAAACCCGGAACTTTCAGATTCGGGATTCCCCAAATGTGCCAGTTTACTATCCAAATAAAACAGATCTTTTGAGAAGAAGTCTGTCTCAGAATTATTTGTTGGAGTGGAGGTTTTCTGGAATGCTGACATCAGCTTTATTTGTCATTTCAGAAACAGAGAAAGTTCTCCTGTAGAATTTTGTTTAGATTTTTTAAAATCTTACCTTTATTATTTTTATAAATCAGCCAAGGCAGCAAACATATCTAATACTCTTTCCCTTGTCTTATTTTCCCCACAGCAACAACCCTGTAAAATGTGTTAGGCTAGCAGATAGTGATTGGCCTAAAGGCACTCATCTGGCTTTCATGGCTAAGACGGGACTAGAACTCACATTCTCCTGATTTCTAGCCTGTTGCCTTCCCCAATAGACCAAACTGGTTTTCATTTGTAGGTGGGGTTTTTTTTTTCAACTTTTTGCACATTGGCAATTTGCAGTTATAATAATTTAAAATTAAAGAAAATAAAGCAAAAACAATATATAAATACACGAGAGCTAAAATATGAACTACTGAAGACTAATCCCAGAAGAAAACTATTCTGGAGTTTCCGGTTTGTCGGCTTCGCGAGCGGTAGGGATTCGCGAAGCTGCGCGATCCCTGCCGCGCTAGCCGTTTTGGGGCTCCGACCCGGACGGGTGCGGAGCAAGGCTGCCCTGCAGGGGTAGCTGAAGGTAAGGGGGATCCGGAGGAAGGGTTTGGGGGTGTTGCAGACCCCCTCCCTGGCCGGCAGAACCCCCTGTTACCAGGACGGTGCAGCGGCGGTCCGTAATGGCCGCCACAAAGAAGTTGACAGCCGGGCAAGTATGCGCAGGAGGAAGAAGAGAAAGTTATTGAAAGTAAAAGTTCTTCTTGGTCGACCCAGGGCTTTGAGATTTATCTAATTTAATTCCTGGAAAAGATGGTTTTCTGATGATTTCTTCCACAAGAGAAAAAAAAGCGGCTATTTTGAGGTGCTGAAGGGAAAGTTTACTCTCCCTCCCGACGGAATTAAGCCGGAAGGGAGAGGATAAAGAAAATATATTAATTTGGATCTTGTTGGAGGAGATGCCTTGAAGACTTGAGGACAGAAATACAATCTTAATAAGGCTTTAAAATATAGACTTGGATTCTTTTTTTTTTATTTGTTTGATACCACCCCTGGAAGAGGAAGGGGGAATTTTGGCTTGCTTGGATTTATTGAGGATTGTGGATTTTGGGATTGTTTTGCCTTTCTCTCGGAATATTTGGTTGGTGTAAGAAGAAAGAGGAATAAAGAAAAGAAAAGATTTATTTATAATGGCTTTCCTTTTTGAAGACCTGAGGGATGAATATGAGCAAACAAAAGCAGCCTGCAAAGATGGCATGGAAAAAGCTTTTCTATTTCTAGAAATGGCGCTGGTCAATTACCAACAGACAATGGAACAGATGGAAACGGAAGAAGAACAACAAGGAAGAGACGAAGACGCCATCTTCATTGAATCCCAAAACTTATCTAAGGAAGAAGGAAGGAAGAGAGCAAGGAAAATGAAGGACTTAAGATCTAAAAAAACATTTGAGAAAGAGAAAAATATGATGCAAAGTAAATATAATGATAACAAACAAGAGAAAAAGGGAACACAACAGAGAAGGGATCCCAGCAAGGTAGAGGTTAGAAGAAGAAGGGGGGGTAGGAAGATTTGGTGGTGGAAGAAAGAAAGGGGAAAGGCGGAGAAAAGCCTCAAAGCTTTAAAATTGGATGGGAGAAGAGGGATTTTTTTTAGAGACAAAGGATGAAATATAATTTTCTGTAAGAAAGATTCTGCTAAGGTACAGAAGATGGTATTGTAACATTTATATTTGAAATAGTAAATTAGAATGGTTTAAGATTTAATAAGAAATTAAAATGTTGAAGTTTTTAATAATGATTGATTTTTAAAATGTAATAAAATATCGAAGGAAAGGAGGATACAATGTATTTAAACATTTTTGGTGGATAGAATGTACCAAGCAGAACCAAATTGGGTATTTGTTATGCTGAATGTTAATTTTACTAACTTAGGGGGAGGATAGAAAGGCATCATACTCTGATTAGTGATTTCAGGAGAAATTTTTTTTTATTATAAGAAGAGATAGAGGGATAATTGAATGGGCAAAAGATACAAATTTAATGATTTAATTAAGATGGATTAAATAAGATAGAAATGTGAAGAGTGATATGTGCTATTATTTTAGCCCATGCAAAGAGAGGTAACTGGGGCCAAGGTACTTTACTAAAAGATTTTTTTTATGTTTGTTTGTGTTTGTTTGTGTTTTATGAGAATATTGGGGAAATTATTGTAGAAAGATAGGGAAAGATTCAATATGTAATGATTTGTTTGTTGTTGAAACTTTTAATAAAACTTGTTTTAAAAAAAAAAAAAAGAAAACTATTCTGGCTAGAATGTAAAACAGAGTGGTATAAAACCGTGTAAACATTTAGACAGCTGCCAAATTGTTCCCCTTCTTTCTAGACAAGTTAAACAACAATTGTCTTATTTCACTCTTTTGCAATGATATAAGCTGTGAAACAGAATTTGGCAGCTTTAAAAGTGACATCATTTTTAACAGCCTGAGAAGAAATGAAATTAAGAATCTGATTATCAGAGGATTCAGCCAAAAAAAAAAAAATAGTTAGTTTACTTATTCGGACATTTCTTGAGGCCACAGAAAGGACACTAATAAACCACATGAAGCCTTGGAGATAACTTTTTTTGTTGTATATTTGCTCTATGAGTTTGAATCCTCATAAATTTTGGAGAATAGAGCAATATTGGGAAGACAGGTTCTTTTGTATTTAAAATATTTTAAAAGATTTTTTCCAAAAGTGCTTTTCCAAAAGGCAATTGGACTTTCTTGGTGTTTTTTTTTACTTTTTCCTTTCTTTTTTTCCCCTTTTCCTTCTTAAGTTTGCTTCTTGGATAAGAAATGAAACATTTTCAAAGGAAAAAAAACCCAAGAAATTCTAGTTGCCTTTTGGAAAATCACCTTTGGGAAAACAATGACATGGATGATTGAGAATCTCCATAAGATCTTTTTGAAGCATATTTCAGCAAGTGTCTCACCTTATGGAAACTTCCATAAAATATTTTCTTTATGTCAGGCCCTTCAAAGGTTACCGTCTGGAATTCCCCTTTGTAGTCATAATTGAAGAAAGTCAAGGTTTTGCCGTCATCTGCACAGTGTATGAGAGAATAAGGCTCAGAGAACTGTCTACATTTTCTTTTTAAGGTTATACATTGGCTCGTCATATTTTCAAGCAAAAGTCACGATCAGCCAGCTGGCCAAGGAGACAATGAGAAGCGCAGGCTTCTACATTTATCAAAAACTCATTCCCAAAACCAAGCAACCTGTACAGGCAAAAGGGGAGGGAGTTTTGACAGGTAAACTGCTCTTATAGACAAAATGCGGTGATTTAAATTGGTTAAATCTCAGCATCCCACAGGCAAAAAGAAAGCTATTTAAATCCACTTCTTCTTTGCCCATACAAGCCCAATGAGGTTAATGAAATTCCTGGTCTTTTTTGTAAACCAATGAGATATGAAGGACACGCAGATATAAGTGATAAAGGTGGACAGTCCTTATCAAACAATGACATGTAGGGAATCTATAGGTACCTCGGCTTAGATACCTTCCATGAGAAAAGGTGATTTATAAATATTTTATTAGATTTTTAATCCTGCTTTTATTGTTTGATGGGTAACTCGAGGTAATAAACATACCTAATACTTGTTCATCCTTCACATTTTCCACAACAACAATCCTGTGAGGTGGGTTGGGCTGAGAGAAAGTAAATGGCCCCAAATCACCCAGCTAGTTTTCAGGCCTAAGCCAGGACTGGAACTCATGGTCTCCTGGTTTCTAGGCCAGCACCTTAATCACACCACACTAGCACTCTCATGTATCATATTATAAATAAGAAATAGGACATACATAAATCAGTAGAAACGCTTATGAAAAATTGGGTAGGAAAAACAGATTCCTTCAAAAAGAAAACAGCAATTATGACTTCTGAAATCTCTTGTTGATAGCATGCAAAAAATACAGATGGAAATAATCAATCACAGCACACCCGCAAACCACAGACACTTACTATCCAAAATAACTCCGACCAATGGCTCATAACTTTCATTTAAAATCTCCCACAGAGCAAATGGTTCCAGAGGTGTTTCAGGGAGGATGCGGAAGAGAAAAGTTATGGTGTAATCTGACGGGAGACCCTCTGGATGTACATATCTGTGAAAAGAAAGTAAGTTTGCAGATAGGATATTAATACAGAGAAATCCTACAACAGGAATGAACCATTTTCATTGACACAAGGCTATAGGAGGCTGTATCAAGTGCCAAACTCTGTATGTAGATGAAAGCTATAATCCATCTGAGGATAGAACTGAGGAATAGCAATAGCACTTAGATTTATATACCACTTCATAGCCCTCTCTAAGCAGTTTGTCCCCAACAATCTGGGTTCTCGTTTTACCGACCTTGGAAGGATGGTAGGCTGAGTCAACCTTGAGCTAGTCAGGATTGAACTGCTGGAGTGAGCAGTGAGTTACCTTGCAGTACTGCATTCTATACACCACAGATATCAATAGGTGTCCAATTTTGCCCCTGAGCACCTTCATAATTTTAACTGGGTAGGTGCTCCAACACCGCAAGTTTTTAAGAAGAGATTGGACAAGCATTTGTCTGAAATGGTATAGGGTTTCCTGCACGAGCAAGGGGTTAGACTAGATGACTTCCAAGGCCCCTTCCAAGTCTATTATTCTGTTATTCTGTAAACTTCATTTAAAGGGCTTATTTTGGGCTCATCAATGCTTGTGGGGTCACAGAAGAGATAATGAATACCTGCACACAATGGTAAGTCTTTGCTATACCTGTGCCCTGCAATCCATCAATTCTACCAGGCATGATAAAATTGCAGCTTCCCCCAAACACCTTATCAATCCTTGCCTCCTTATCCTATCGTAATTGTAGAGTTTTGAGCCAGCCTTATTGAAAATCTGCCTACATGGATCCCCATATCCTCAAAATCAACATGCTCCATCAAACTGCCTACAAGATTCCTGAATAATGAGGGTCACCACCTCTATACACAGCTGGTAAATACATCCCTATGACTAAATGTCTTGTCCATGAAATTGGTTGCTGGTACTGTTCCATGTTTTAATGTTCTTTTTTAGGAGTAGAGAATGCTATACATCTGTTTATATCTTTTTCCCCAGCCTGCTGCCCTCCAGATGTGTTCTGGGAATTGTAGTTGCCTCACAGCTGGAAAGCACCAGGTTCAGAGAGGCCATATGACGTTATGTTTTTAATTTGCTGAATTTTATCATGGAAAGAAGCTAGGAGATCAAATTCTTAAAAACGAATAAAATCAACAAACATATATAATTCCCCTTAATCCTCAGTATATTTGTATGCCTGCTAATTTTTCTGATGGCTGATAACATTGCAATGTGATAGATAAAATGACTTTGCATAAAATAATTCATATGGGATACTACAAACCGTGCAATAAAACTGCAGGTTTTATTCCTTATAATAATATTGACTTTGCTGATATTTTTATTCCCTGTTGGTTATTTTAAATAACGGGGAGGTTTGAGTACATAGACCAAATTTTCCTACTTAAAGCATCCTTAAACTCCTGGAAGATATGTTGCTGATTGTTAATGCAATTAAATAAGACATTTCTTTCATCTTTTATAATTCTCATGAGGAAAGCTCATATATCTTGAAGCAGGCATGCAACTAAGAGAAACCAGCAAGCATGTCCTATTGAGGTAGTGTTCAAAGTCTGTGATATTCAGCTAAATTTTGGTAATATATACTCATGGCTTAAACTCTCTGTACTGTTTGCTCATCGCTCCTGGGAACAACCCCCACAACCACAATGAGGCAACAGAGCAGGATTTGTGGTGTTTGTATTGTGTCCATATTGATGGACAATATTGAACACCATATCAGAATTACAGGTAGCCTTCAACTTACAACTCCAATTGAGCCCCAAATTTCTTTTGTTAAGCAAGACAATTTATAAATGAGTTTTGCCTCATTTTATGACTTTTCTTGCCGCAGTCCTTAAATGAACCACTGCCATTGTTAAGTTAATAATACGCAGGGGTGGGATTCAAAATTTTTAACAACTGGTTCTGTGGACGTGGCTAGGGCTGTGTGGCTAGGTGGGCATGGTCATATAACCGGGTGGGCATGGCTTCTTCTTCTTTCTTTCTTTCTTTCTTTCTTTCTTTCTTCTCCTTCTTCTTCTTCTTCTTCTTCTTCTTCTTCTTCTTCTTCTTCTTCT